ATGGGTAGATGGATGGATGGATGGATGGATGGATGGATGGATGGATGGGTGGATGGATGGATGGGTAGATGGGTGGATGGATGGGTAGATAGATGGGTGAGTGGACAGATGAGTGGGACAATGGTCATTACACAGGTTCAGAGAAGTCTGGAGATCTCACCCCTGTTTTGTTGGACCTCTTGACCACAGGCAGTGACCATTCTCAGATAAACTGAGAACACCCTGAGCATGGCTTCTCTCCTATGACTACCTGAGAAATCTGTACAACATATATTTGCTTCCGTTATTCCAAGGGTCTAGCTTTAGCCTCCTGAAGTGGGATAGGGACAATCTCATTGACTCTTGGGCAAATATTCTCTAGGCTCTGTCCTGTTCCTCATGTCATTGACCCATTCATTTCTCCAACAAATATTTATCAATTTCTTTCTATATTTTTTACATTAGTCTCCATTCAGGGATATAATTAGAAAGCACACACATGTCCGCTTCTGCTGAGAAGAAACGGGAAACAAAGCAATGAGCAATACATAGTCCACCCAAGGCAAGCACTATGGAGGAAAGACAATGCAGAAGAATGGAGGAAGATAGAATGAGATGAACGATTTAAAGGTTTGGTCAGGGAAGGTGCTCTCTGCCCTTCTAGGGGAAATTTCAGAGTGCAGGGGTGAGACTGTTTCCTTCATTGCATTAGGCCAGAGGGACAGCCGAGGCAAAATGGCAGAGAGATTAGAAAAGGGGGAGAACTAGTGTTGACTGACAGGCCCTAGGGTAAAATGTGGCTTTTAGTTGAGTCATTGAGAGCACGTTTCTTTTTTTCATAATATTTTTATTTATTCTTTGAAATTTTCATATATGTATATACTGTTTTTTTGGTCTTATCTATCCTCCACTACCTCCTTCAGATCCCCCGTCTTTGGCCCATCTACCTGTCTCCATCCTAATCTTATGTTCTTTTCATCATCATTGTCATAGTCTTGGCCATCATCAGTTGCTGACCATGCATGAGTGTACGTGGGGTCATCCACCAGGGTATTGTCAATCCACCAGCAGACACATCCTCAAAGAAAAGTGACTGTCCCTACCCCTGCAGTTATCAATTGTCTATAGCTCCTTATCTCGTGGGACTTTAGGAGCCCCTTCCTCGCCCATGCTGCGATTTCGATTGGCTTGATCTTGTGTAGGTCTATGCAGAGACAGCCATGCGTGCTAATGCGTCAGCATGCGCATCAGCCATGTCAGGCCCAGAAGACAGCATCCCTCGTACTCCTCACCATTCTCTGGCGCTTACATCATTCTTTCTTCGCCCTCATACACCGAACTTTGAACGGGGGGGGGGGGGGGGGGGGGGTTTGATAGGGATGACCCGTGGATGACTGCGCACTCACAATGACTTGAATTTTAACATGATTTCCTTGGCAACAGAATTGACAATGAGAAGTAGACATAGCATAGCAGCAGCAGCAGCAGACAGGGAAGACATTCTTATAATCTCAATAAGGCATGATAGTGCGGTGGAACACTTATTGGCAGCAGAGGTGTCAAGATACCTGATTTTAAATGAATCTCAGAAGCAGAGCCAACAAGATTTTCTGATGAGGGTTTCCATGTGAAATCTGAAGGAGGGAACTCCCTTTTCTACTCATGCCTAGTTTCAACACTGGCGCTGCTGTGTGCCTTCTGCTAAGGGAGCTCTGTCAACTGCCATTGCCTTCCGTGTTCCTGCCATTGTAGTTGAGACTGATGATTACTATGCTCCTTCACCCCGCTCCCCGAGCCCAACCCAGGGCCCACTCCACTTCTACCAATCTTGCTTTGCCTGTGCTTAGGTTTCCAGAGTGGAAAAGTGAATTTTGGAAGAGGGAATTTACGTGGATGAAAATAGGTCTGAGTAGGCACGGCAACTGACTCCAAGCAGAGACAAGTGTTAAGGCAGAGCTTTGGCTCGTGCAGAATGGCACTAAGAGGACAGAATACAGGGTCTGCCACCGAAATGCCTCTAGCTTTCCATCCAACTGGATTCTAAATTTCAAGACCTTTTAGGAAAAATGAAACTTATACAGTAGTAACTTAAGGTAAGAATAAGTAAAAAGTCTAAAGATACTCATGACTCTTGAGAAAGGTGGATCTCAAAAAAGCAGAAAAGGATCCCAGGCAGTGGCTGAATACTCCTTTTTATCCCAGCGTGCAGGCAGAGGTGGCTGGATCTCTGAGTTTGAGGTCAACCTGGTCTACATAGTGAATTTCAGGACAGCCAAGGCAACACAGAGAAACCTCCTTGTTGTTGTTGTTGTTTGGAGGGAAAGAGGAAAAACAAGGAGAAAGAAGAAACGATTTTAAAAAAAATCTAAAAACTCTTTTCTTCTTTTCTTCTAGCAACTTTATGAAAGTCAACAGTAATTTTTATTGAATTTGACACTATTGTACCCCTACTTTTAATAAGAATCCAAGTTACTACTGTTATTACTTTATGACTTTAAACAAAACTTCTAAAACAGTAAGAATTAAAATGGCTCAGTAGAGCTACGCAGTGGTGGCACATGCCTTTAATTCTAGCACTCAGCAGGCAGAGACAAGAGGATCTCTGTAAGTTCAAGGCCAGCCTGGTCTACCGAACTAGTTCCAGGACATCCAGGGCTGTTACACAATGAAATTCTTCCCCCTGCAAAGGAAAAAAAAAAAAAAACCAATTTACCAAGCAAACAACAGTGCCTAAATGTGGCTCCCTAGAACTCAAATAAAGCTGAAAACAGCAGCACGCCTCTATAGGCAGAGCTTTCTGTCCCACCAGTCGGCTTCCCATATAAGCACCAAGATATTTATTATTAATAAATACTCAGCAGATAGCTTAGGCTTACTGATAACTACCTCTTACATCTTAAATTAACCCACACTTTTTCCCTATGCTGTACCATGTAGCAGCGCCTTTTTTCAACAAGGGATATTTATCTCCTGCTTCCACTGCATCTCCCAGTGACTCTCTTTTATTCTGCCCTTCTTCCCAGCATCCTCTTAGTTTGGCTCTCCCAACCACTTCCTGCCTAGCTATTGGCCAGATAGCTCTGTATTAACAATGAAAAGAACATATCTTCACAGTGTACAAACGTATTATTCCACAGCATGCCTTTGTGATCCCAGGGCAATTTTTTATCTAACTTGGGGGTCACAATGTGTACCCCTGGTCAGGTCCAGACACCTGTCCTCAATAAGCCAATAAGAAGAGCTAAATTAGTGGAAAACAGGAAAAAGGACACTTATTTAATGTGGAAGAGACAGAGGCCCAATGACCCCTGAAGTTCTCCATGGTCCTTAAGTAAGATTAGAGTTTCATCAGAGGACCAAGGATATATACATCTAACAGGCCCAGTCAGAATGTGGTCCCACCATTGGTCCATCACTGTCCAAGCTTCAGCCTCATCCTGGAAGGTGATGTGACAATATGTTCAAACGGTGTTAAATCTCTTTCTAGGGCTCAAGATCCCACTCTAGCTAGAGCATTTTCCTTCTCTCAGCAGGAGATTCCTGGGGGGATTCCCGTTTCTTTGGGGCTCACTGCTTCAATAGTTTGATGGTTCAATTGAGAAATGCAAGCATCTCTTTAGAATGCCTTCATTTCTGCCATACTGTCTGCACAATTAGAGCAAGATGGAAGGTGGTGATGAGAAGCTCACAGGCCAGTTAGTCGAGTGTACACAGCGGCAAACAAGAGACCCTACCTCAAACAAAGTAGAAGGTAAGGACCAACATTGAACTTGTCCTCTGACCTCTATGTGCTTGCCTATGTGCACACACACACAAGATAAACCTTTTTATAAAGAAAAATAAAAGAAGCCTTCTTTAGGCCAAGGGAGTGAGAATGCCAAGTATGAGCAGCATACTTTGTAGTCTTTAGAAAGCACATCAATTCCAGATGCAGATGATACACTAGAGACTGCTCAGGGTGGTGTGGACAACGTTGCTGTTTAAAGCATCTAATACTACAAATGCTCACATGCGGAAAATTTTCTGCTGACTTCTGTCTACCAGCGTGAACCACCGAATCCTCTAAGATCGAGCTAGGGAACGTTGGAGGCCTGTTTCCAACCCCCTGGTGGGACACATTATAGGATGTGAAGAAGTGGCTCTTTTCTAGAGCTCCTTGCGTTTTTATTCCTCCCACAAACAAAATGGAAACCATCACAAAGTAAATAGATTCCTCAAGGTCCTAAGGAGGCAGCCCTTGCTGGGTTTTTGTGTAGTCAGCAGTAGGGTCTCAGTTGACGTTAAAGGGCCAGCTTCTAGTGAAGAACTCATTTTAGCTGTAGGAGATGAGCAGGAAACACAGGTCTTAAGACCCTGAAGATACGCTGGCAGAGTGAACAGTGGTGAACAGCAATGTCGGCCCCTGATTAACTTCGGTCTGTGTTGAGCATTCCTTACCTGAAAGTGTTTAGGACCAGAAGCATTTCAGATGTCTGTCTTTCAGATCTCTGGAATGCCTGCAGCGTGCTGTAGTGTGTTTGTTTTCTCTGTGCCTGTAAGCAGAGCAGATGTCATGATCTGTATACGGGCTCCCATGAGGTCGGCCTATTAACCATGGAGGCAGGGTCCATCAGACGGGTTCTCTGGAGGGGCGGAACCAGGAGGAGAGGAGAGAGGCAGAGACTGGGAGGCAGAGAGACATACACGGAGAATGATTTGTTAGATAGTAGGGGCTGGGTAGTCTAATAAGGAGCGTCTTTAGGCAATAGAGCAGCGATTCTCATCTGTGAGTTATGATCCCTTTGGGGGGTCCAACAACCCTTCCACAGGGATTGCCTAAGACATCTGCATAGCAGATATTAAAAATAATAGCATTAAAATGTATAACAGTAACAAAATTACAGTTATGAAGTAGCAATGAAGATAATATTATGGTTGGGGTCACCACAACAAGAGGAAGGTTGAGAACCACCGCAGAGAACCTGGTAGCTACTCAGTCCAAGGAGAAGATCCCTCAGTAGCTCTGCTTGGTAAGAAACTGGAGACTGTGTATTAGTGGAGGATGACCGTGGTAGCAGTAGACCCGGACTGTAAGTCACAATGCAATCCTCAGAGCTCCTGGTATCTGAGCATCCCCTTTGAGAAAGGGTATTCTCCTCTCAGTTAAAACTCTATGGAATGGCCCTCACAGAGAGCCCGGGGAATAATCTCTCAGGTTGATTCTGAATCACGCCAAACTGACAAATAAGAGCGACCATCAAAGGAAGGGTTGTCTTGTGAGACTATGAGTCCTTCAGGAGACACCAGAAGCCTCCCTTTCACAGTAAAGAAAGACTTTGGGCAGGATTTACCTGTGGTGTAGCTTCCTGTCGGCAACCAAGGGAATTCACCATAGTATAGATGGCTGTGGGTCCCCTCCGCTCCTGTAACAAACCCCATGAAATTGATCTTCAGTGTGGTTTTTTGACTGTCAATTCCCTCTCTACCTGGGGTGAACAGACATCTATGTACCCCCAGAAAAAAGTCATCCAACACAAACCCAATCTAAAAAATCCCTAATCCAGAAAGGTCTGAAACTCAGACCTTCAGAGCACCGTGTCAATACTCAAAACGTTATAGATTTGAGAGTAAGGATGTTCACCCTCTGCGTGTCTTTCTGGGATCCTCATTTGTTTTCATTTTTCCTCTGAGGACTGGGGTTGGTTGTAAACTAGAGGAGTAGCTTTGATCTTGTTGTTTTAAATGTGTGGGACTAGGCATTTGGGACTCAGAACTCTAAAGTGCTTTGGGCAGCTTTTTTCCATAGATAGCTAGTGTATCCATGAGCAACAGCAGGCATAGGGTGTAGGGTCCATGGGAGCTACAGTGGTCCTGTCTTCTCCCGCTCCTGCTCAACCTTTCATTTATGAATGAAGCCAGTGACCCCGATAATTGTCCCGCCCTTCCTTTCATTGTTCCTGATTTACACGTTGTAGTGGAACGGATCAGCGTTAGGTCCCCCCTGCAGCTCTATTCCTGACCCTGATTTTGCACTGGCTGATTAGAAACATGGTAGCAATCAGCTCTTGGGTACCACCTATCATCAGCCTTCCCGCGGATGTGCCCCTGCGTTAAGTCCATTAGCTGCAGGTGCCATAATGAGGGCGTGGAGACAAGATGACTTATCCAAACCCCGTCTTGTCAGTGTGCTGACAGAAATTAATAGATTCCGTGTTCATTAGCATACATCTAGCTGGAAACTATTACTAAATCCAGAACTTACAAGCTTCAGTGAGCAAATTAATGAGAAACCTTGAACACTTCAGAGACAGAACACAGTCAGTTTGAGCAGACAAACCTTTTGGTTAGAAATTACATCTTAAGCCGTGTAGAGTGCTGTACACCTATAATTCCAGCACTTGAGATGGAGGAAGGAAGGTTGTTGGATCAAGGCCAGCCTCCACTATATAGAAAATTCAAGGCCAACCCATGCTTCATATGCCCCCATTTGAGGAAGCGGGCTGGTGAGCACTAAGAAAATTCTTATGAAACATTTACATGACAGTTACCATATTTGAATGTGAACTAATCTATTGTTTATATTTTGAAGGTGAGTCTCGGCCTGTGTATTAGTCAAGGTTCTCTAGAAAAATAGAACTGAATATATATATATATATATATATATATATCATTTGTTAGAGTAGATTACAGTCTGTGGCCTAGCTAAAACAGCAATGTCTGTCTCCCAATGAAAATTCCTAGAATCCAGTTTTTTCTCAGCCCATGAGGCTGGATATCTCATTTGGTCTTCAACAGACACTGGAATCCAAGGAAGTAGGCTCTGATGCCAGTGAGAGAATGGACCTGCTAAAGGCCAGTGCAGGCAGGCAAAGAGCAAGAGATCCCTTCCTTCTTCCATCTCCTTTATATGGGCTTCCACCAGAAGGGGTGGCCCAAATTAGAAATGGGTCTTCCCACCTGAAAAGAGCCAATCAAGAAAACTCCCTCACAGGTGTGCCCAGATGCTCGGGCTTTAGTTAACTCCAGATCTAGTCAATTTGACGACCAAGAACAGCCTGTCTCCTACTGCAAACAGATCTTTACTGTATCAGAAGGTTTGTTTTAAGAACTTTCACCTTATAACTTAAAGACATGCGCGCCACTGTGGGAAATGCAATTCATGGTAAACTTTGCTGAAGGAATTTGTTCCTGAACACTGTAATCTCTAGTAGACAGCAGCATGCATTTGCTTCTCCTAGACTACATTCGTTAGAGGGTGATACAAACTACCAGTACTGCAAAAAGTAAACTCGTTATTAATTTCTGGCTCTGTGTCTAACCAGAAAAGGATCAAACGTTATGTCTTAAAATCAGGAGCACAGCTAAGCAAAACCCTAGGACTCTCACTGTGTTCAGGCCCGAGAAAGCTCTCCTCTCCGTTAAGTTTTTGATGAACAAGGAGGCTTGCTTAAATTTAGGAGAAATTATTCAAAGGATAATTTTTATGGCCAGCTGATTAAAGTGAGCGTAATACTTTCATTTTCCGTTGCGATCATAGAATTCTCTGACAAAAGCATTTTAAAGGAGAAGAGATTTATTTTTCACCCCCAGTTCCAGGATACTGTCCATCATGGTGGAGAAGCCATGGCAGCAAGAGCCTGGGGACTCCCGTATACTGTGGCCACAGTCAGGAAGCAGACATTGAAGGCTGTACTCCATCCAGTTAACCTTGACTAACCTATTCCAGACAAACTCCCCCAGGTATGCTCAGCAGCTACCCTCATCAAGACGACCCCAGAGGCTCATCTCTCAGGTGAATTCTGACATCAAATTTACAATTGAGATTAACCATCACAATGAAAATAGCAGCTTATAATGCTGTGCACAAATATCCCTCAGCCAGAAGGTGATATACACTAAGTGTTCGACAAATGTATACTGAGTCTGATTCTCCTCAAGCCAGTCTAGTTACTGCTTCTGAGGTCAAGGCGTAAGAGAGTCCTTCGCAAGGTCATCGAATCCCACCCCAGCCTGAAATCCCCTTTAGATTCTCAGTAGAGAAGTCAGGAAAGAAAGTCAGCTGCTTGAGATGGTGTGTGATGAGAAGTGTTGAAGTTTGGATGTGGTCTGTTCGTGTATTTGAACATAGTTCACAGGAGCTACATAAAGAAGATGGTAGTGTCTCTAAGATACTGCCTAGTGGGAGGCACAGGGTGCTGACTGCGCTTTGAAGGTATTAATGCCGGTCTTGTGGCATGTGTTAGTCCCACTTGGAGTGCCTTAGCTCCTCCAACAGTATGCTGATCTGAACGAGCTAGCCCCCTTCCTCCCTCCTCTCGTTCCCTTTTTACCAGGTAGTCTCGTTCTTTGCGTACACCCTCTCCTGTTTCTTTGTCTCGCTGTGATGAAGACAGGAAAGCATCTCCAAGTGTCACTGTCGTGTTTTGTGGGATTTTTTAACCACCACAACGTCAAACTACGTAGGCCTTTTGAAGAAAATATTCTACGTAGCCCCTCGTATTCTGTTTATAAAATACAGAAAATGGGCTAAAACAAGAAACCTGTGGTCTTTCAAATCACCTTTCAGTCTCATTATGTGAATGTAGTTTAGCACAAATTAAATAGTTACCCACAAATGCTTTCCTCTCCTGAAGTCATGGATTTCCCTATGCCCTCCCCAAAGTTACATATCCATAGTGTGGACTTCAGCCTCTGCCTAGCTTCTGCTTCAAAGAAGGGCACACCATGGTGACTGTAAATCGTAGATCTTCTCCAGCCATCGGCTAATCCCTACTTAAGTCTCTACACTCTTCACAAGGTAGCCCTCCTTCTCCGATGAAGGAGATGCCCACTACAGGACAGTGTTGGTAGGCAGTGTTCCCTCCATCACTTCCAGCCAGGCTGGCCAAGCTTTGATGAACTGGTGTGATGGGTTAGTATTTTCTCCTGTTCTGCCGCTCTCTCCTTCTTTTCTCAGACGTTGCTCTCCTGAGGACCTTGCATTGGAAGGCCTGACTCTTTGTCTGCTATGCAGAGGCAAACGAGGACAGCTGGTTTGCATTTTGGCCTTCATGAGTTGACTGCTTGAATGACAAACCTGCCCAGTACACCCAGGTGGATAAAGGGCATTGGCTGGAAGGTCACTAGGCTGCACTTACGGTTCTCAACATTTAGCCCCCCCGAAGAGGAGTCATTTCGCCAAACAAGACCTCCAGCAAAGCCACAGGCCGAAGAAAGTGGCTGTGCTGAAGCATCTGTGGCAGGCCACACGGTCTGAAGGAAATGGAAATCAATGGCCAGATAGATCAGCGGTTCTCAGCCCACACCTGCATCATAGCCCATGGGGCACACTCACAAAATACTCGCTGCTGATTTAGTTTGGCCTTATAAGAATTTTTCAGGTGACTTAGGCCGCTTGGGTTAAGAACTACTAAACCCTTGGCATTTAAGCTCCTTCCATCTTCTACTGATCTTTAATTCCAAAAGATGCCACAGGTAACCTTTTTAATTTTCAGGTGTAGTGCGAACATTTAAAAGGGGGCCCTCACCAGTCAAGGTTAGAGAACTGATCCTTGCTCTTACATACATAGATTTATTTTTAATTATTCATGTTCTCTTCCCAAAGCCAAGCAGATGAAATAGCAGGTGCTCACACTCCCTTGACCTTCTTTCACCCCAAGATCAAAGGGGTTCTCGTGTTCCTGCATCTTACTCCTATACTGCCAGATGTGCTTGGATTTAGCCCCTAAACTTGCCCAAAGTTAATTACGGAGGCCATCGAAGTGTGGGAAATCCACATTAACCCTACCTAGGCTGCTCAGAGGCAAACTTCAGAGGCATTATCAGCAGAAACCTGAGCTTTGTCTTTCTCCAAACTTCTATTTTAAAAGTCATAGTTGGAAGTGATAATGTACTTCCATAATCCCAGCACCCTGGAAGCTAAGACCAGAGAAGCCCAAATTGAAAGCCGGCCTAGGCTATACTGACTCAAAACAAAACTCCCATTGCTTACACTCTGTCTGCCTTTCTGGAGCTGGAGACAGATACTCTGAACAAACACATGCTTGGCTTCTGTGTTTTACCCTCCATCTGATCAGCAGTGGACAGAACAGAACCATGCAGTTCACAAATGCATGCATCAGCCCAAAGCACCTGAAAAATAACATGACTGCATGTCCTCTGATTGTTTGTGGAAGGGCACCCATTTTTAAGAATGTCGTTGGTTCACTTAAGAAATGTCCTTTTGAAACTGAGCAGTGGTGATGCACACCTTTAATTCCAGCACTCGGGAGGCAGAGGCAGGCGGATCTCTGTGAGTTTGAGGTCAGCCTGGTCTACAAGAGCTAGTTCCAGGACAGGTTCCAATGCCACAGAGAAACCCTGTCTCAAAAAAAAAAAAAAAAGTCCTTCTGAGTGCTCTATAGTGTGCAGCTTATTGTTAGAGCAATCCGTATGATACTCGGGATAAGTGATCAGCTGGTGCTCAGAGACCTTGTCACTCCTGGTCACCTACTCACTTTTAGATTCACAAAATCATAGTTCTGGACCCTCTTCTGTTAAGGCCCTTCACTGAAAAATTCAGTTAGACTCATTGATCTTAATTTCAACTTGATTGGCCATCTGAAGCCTGCAATAATAAAGTCAAATTCAATGCCTTCAGTCCCCAAGAATCAATGGGCCAATACCTGATACCCATGCAATTACATATGTGTTCAAAAATTAGGTGGCATTATTTGGTGGGTGCTCTGTAAGCGATTTTATATTGTATATATGATCTAATAATTTTCACCCAACAGCACATAACTATATTTCTCTTCAATAAAAAATATTTGTTGGAACATAATATGCACTAAGGGTTTGGGTCATACATAACAGCTAAAAGAATTTGCCAGAACTGAACATTCCACCAGATACCAACACCAAAATCAAAAAACAAAGCATTAATAGCAAACACAGACACACACCATCTCACATCCTATCAATGTGCCTTACCCCCAAAATCATCCCTCCCATACTGTCAGTGTGCCTAGCCTCCTGTCTGTCAGTGTGCCTAGCCTCCTGTCTGTCAGTGTGCCTAGCCTCCGACCACTTACTGAATCCCATCACTCTGCATTTGTTTGGGATGTTTGTACACTTTATACAAAAAGAACCCTACTATATGTGCTCTTTTGTGTGCACTTCATCTATTTCAAATTTGACTTTGAGAGTCTCAGTTGAGTTCCACAGGTAGGAATAATTCCTCTGTGTTCTCTTTTATGAATTGAATATTGCATAATTTATTCATCCATTCTACTACTGACGGACATTTTGTTTTATGGAAGGGGGTATCATTATGAACCTATCTGCTACACACACACACACACACACACACACACACACACACCTTTCTAAAATGATTACATCAGTTTACATGCAGGGGGAGAAGCATTCTTAACTACACCTGTTTGTTGTGTTTTAACCCATTCTGACTGATAGTGGTATTTGCAATGATTAATTTTTGTTGCTAACTCAATTATATTTGGATTCAACTAAGAGATATGCCTCTAGGAGAGGTCTATTTCCTGAAATAATTCACTGTGAGCTGAAGATCTTGCCCCAGAGGGGATAGTACCACCCTCAGCATCCCAAACAGGGAGAGGTAGGAAGAAGTTGTTGCTCTTTGCCTTCCTGCCTTTGTTCCTTGCTGGTGAGTGCATCTACTCTATTGCTGCTGTTGTTGTTTCTGTCTTCATCTTCCGCTGATCTAAGCGCTAATATAAAAACCCATCTTCTTTGCCCTTTCAATGTGGACTGAAGGCTGGTGTCTCTCCGGGTATCCTCTAGGCCTTCATGCCAGATTGGAACCATGGAGGCATCTTGGCTCATAAACTGAGCAACCACTGGATTCTCAGCCTATCCAGTGTACAGAAAGCCTTTGTGAGCTACTCAACACATAGTATGTAAGCCACGCCAATAAATCTCCTTTAATAATCCTCATCCATCATTATGTTCCACTGAAGAACCCAACAACAGCGACTCATTATGGTTTGTCTTGGTTTATTTCTGGCCACTAATACTGTTGGTCACTTTTTTTTATCCTATTTTCTGCGGATTTATTCAGGTCTTTTGCCCATCTTAAGACTTCAGTCCACTGAGACAATGTGGAATTTGCATAGCTTAAAGAAAAAGATAACTCCCACAGCTCCGTGCTTACTTGCTTCATGTTCATCATTTTGGGTCTAAAGGGATATTCGTATGAAAAAAAAAAACTTTCCTTTAGTCCCGCCTTAAACCATACTCAAAATCATTTCCAGTGCTGCAGAGACTGTAGATTTAAATGTAAAAAGTAAAATATGTTTAAGAAAAGAAAGAATAATATTTAATAACCATGGAAATGGAATTATTTCATAAACAGGACAAAACACTATGCATAAAATATAATGAGAGAAGAAAAAAGCACAGTCAGGTATACTGTTGTAATCATCAGCGAGGCGTCTAGGGCAGAGCTGCCAACCTTCCTAACGCTGCGACCCCCTAATACGGTTCCTCCTGTTATGGTGATCCCCGACCATAAAATTATTTTCATTGCTACTTCATTGCTGTAAAAAATTTTGCTTCTCCTATGAATAATAATGCAAATATCTGTGTGTTCTGAGGGTCTTAGGCGACCCCTGTGAAAGGGTCATTCAACCCCCTTTAAGGAGTCAGGATCCGCAGGTTGAGAACCACTGGTCTAGAGTGTCTGATGCTCATTTTTCCCTCCACAAATACAGACAGTCACACACTTAAGGAGGAAAGTCCTTAGTGTACTGTCGGTTAGTTACTCTTCTCACTGCTGCTTTCAAATCCCAGGCATTTCAGGAAGGCTTTCCCCTGGCTAACCCTTGGAGGGGTTGTGAGCCTTCGTGCGGAAAAGTCACAGAACAGCTGGTCAACCAGGAAACAGCAGTGACCAGGAAGCCCCCTAGGCTATAAAACCTCAAGGCCCACCCCCATGATTCACTCCTTACCCACCCCTAAAGGTTTCACAACTTCTCCAAATAGTATCACTAGGCAAAGACCAAATAAATACTCAGAACCTGAGCCTCTGGGGGGCACCTCACAGTTCAGCTACTGCACTCCCATATGGCATGTAGCTGCACTCTGAATGTTCTTCCTGCTCTTTAGTAATTTTTTTTCATGAATCAAGTTTAATGAGTCTAAGAGATAGTGATGGATTTGTTCTCATATCGGGACATAAAAGGAAAAAAAATCATGCCTAACACGACATGTCACCTTCTAAGCTGCATCCCTCACCTGAAGCTGGGTGACACCAAGGACTGCAGTGTACAGAAATTTCTAATTACTTGGTTGCCGCTAGTAACTGGGCAAAGCTTCCGGCAGCAACATGTGTCACGTGTCTTCTGCCCTGCGAGCCCACTCCAGTAACCTAGAAACTAATTGAGAATAAACAAGAATGAGTGAACGTGGCTTTCACTGAGAGTTTGGGTGTCACTAAAACACCAGGGAGAGTATGAATGACCATCAGGAGATTGGCTGAACACACTGGGATCAACCACAAAGCAAAATGATATCAGAAATTACAATGTGTTTTTTTAATTTCAGCTTTACAACACATCAATGAAATACTGTTGCAAATAAAACAGATTATAAGACTAGAATATTTTAAATGTAATATTCTATAATTGACTTTAAAATACATAAATCCCTATGTGTGCATGTATAGAACAATGCCTTGGGAACTCATGCCGGCATGTTTATCTGCAGGTGGCAGGATTATGGGCATGTTTCTTTTTATCTCTCACAACTGCATTACCTGAATTTTTAAATGATATTCACATATTGTTTTTATAATAAAAGAAATGGTAAAAAAAGGTACTTTAATTTAAAAAATACCTTAAATTGTTGCAAAAAAAGATAGTTCTGGAAAACTCAACTCTGTGGAGCTTGTCTATTCCTCTGACAGAAGGGCGAGCTCTCATTGTCACTGTACACTCCACTAGGACAGGGTCTTAGCCTGGATGACGCAGCCGTTTGGTCTAGGCAGCTCTCTGCTGAAGGGGACGGCTCCAGGCATTTCAAGTGTTTAGCTGTATCCTGGCCTCTGCCTACCCGGTGACATTACTGCTTCTCACTGCTTCTCCCTACATTACGACATCTCACTACCTCTCCAGGTGCTGTCATGGAAAGTTGTGCCCCTCACGGTAATACTGGCATGGTCAAGGGCACCAAAGGAAAACTGTCAACCGATACCAATAACAGCAAAAGCAAAGGCAAAGCACAAAAATAATGCCCATTTCCAGAGCAGAGTGATTAGGGTGGAATTAGATTCAGAAAAAGCCTTATCATGCCTTGCCTCCATTATACAATTGGAAAATCGTGTTTGGGGAAATTCTAGAAACAAATGCCCCAAAGCCCATCAATGCCTTCTATCACCATTCAGTAACAGGAGGGGTGTGCCAAGAACATGTCTCCTGGATTGTTACAGCACTGAGTTGTGGAGATGGTCTTGCTTGTGGTTGGTAGGCTCAGGGGGAAATGGGTCCAGTTGATAAAATGATAACGAGATTTAGTTGACAATTTTCTCTGAGTAAAATGTCGAGCTTGTAAATAATTTAAAAATAGCCTGTCATTCAATTGCAGCGCGTCCTTTAAGAAATTTTAATCGATGCAAAACACATTTCTCAGACACCAGCTCTAACCCCTGTGGAAAGCAGCTATCTGGCTGAACAAAAAAGCTGTGGCAGGAGCAGACAGTGTGGCAGAAGGTGACCGAGGAAGGAGCATGAGCCTTAACCCCAGAATCCAATAGCATGACAATATTCGGCAACCTGGAGTTAGCGGTTGTGACAGAGCACGGTGTGGAAACACGTGACTGGCTCAGCTCTTTGTTGCTCAAGGGCACCGAGAAGCTGAGGTTTCTGCGGACTCGTCAGAGAAAGCCAGCATGCGTGTGAACTGTGCGCAGTTTGTCTGCAAATGGACTGTTGGTGTCTCTGCCCAGTGTTCAGCATTACAGGTGAGCAGAAAAAGGAGGGGCATACCAGATGTCTGAAATTAGGGTTCACTGTTCCTATGAGAAAGCAGGTGCACATCACGAGACTTGGAAAGAATGGTTTTTGCTGACCCCCACAACTGTCATTAATCCAAGCCAACCCCCTTCCTACCCAGCATCCATGTCAAACAGCGAAGGATGGAGACCATTCTAAAGTGACATGCGCGGCCTCAGGGATCTTCCAGGCCTCTGCTTTCCCGAGGCAGGGGTGTGCACAAGAACTCAGGCACCAGGAGTCTCCCTGCCTTCCAAGCCCCGCATGCCAGCCTAGCGTCACCTGACTCAGCTGAACTTTCTACCAAAGGAAGGCAATCAGTGACCAGCCACAGTGCCAGGAGACTCTGCCAAGAGCAAGAGCCAGCCGTGCCCCTTCAGTTTGGCACCAGAGTAGAAAGGACTGGGCTCGGCCCCTGCTTGAATCTGGAATCCATTTCTTTGTCTCTTTTTTTTTTCTTTCTTTTTTCCTTTTCAACAACTGACGCAGATTATGAAGACATCTAAGCTGCCAGCATGGAAGCTCTGGTTTGGGAAACGAACCAACACAATTAGAGAACAAGGACATCCCCTGAGTACTTAACCAAATTTGGGTAGCTGTTTGTTTTTAATGAATTGATTATCACCGATAATCACGAGGTACACGTATTGATTTTCATCCCTTAAATCTTAGACGGTACAGAACCTGCGAAGCTGTTAATCCTGATAGATTTAAAGATAATAGATAATGATGCATTATTCATAAACGCTGGCCGGCGAGATATCCACTGAGCAACTGTTAATCTCTCTGTATCCTTTTCATATTCATCTGTTATTAGTTTATTTAAACCAGATTGCCAGAAATATTTAGAATGATAATTTTTAACATCCACCCATAGAGCAAATATCACTTCCTCCTTTTGGTCCAAGGCAGGCATGGAGATTTCCCTCCCTCCCTCCCCCGGCCCAGCTTATACACAAGCACAAGACGTGTGCACGTGGCTTGCCTCTGTTATTGACTGTCAAATAGTTTCCAGCCTGTCTTTGTCCCAAGGTCAACCAGACACAAGTTCTATATTTTTTCTTTGTGGAGGAAGATTTCTTCATTGGTAAGCATATTTAAATTCCCTAGCAGATACTGAACCAAATTTGCCCAGGCTTGAGCCTTCCTTGGCCTTTCACTCAGGGCTAAATATTAACGAATAACCATATCAGACAGTTTTTTGTGAAATATTAAAGATTATTCTGGTTACATGGCTTCCATATTCTGTTTTCTGTATGAAAACCCAAGGCTTTTTCAGGAGCCTCAGTGGCGAAGGGACTAGGTTTATAAATTGTTGCCTATGGACCTCCTGGGACTTAAACGGCTCAGGGCAAAGAGCAGCTGATCTTGGCAAAGGAAGAGAGATAAATAATGCTAACCTCCAAATCAGCTCCCTAAAACTGCCACTGTCAACTCCCTCCAGCGGTTATGAATCTGGGGGCAGGTTGCCATGGCATCGACTCTCACTCAGAGTCCAGTGGTCTTGGTCCTTTCTACTGGGGAGAGAGAGGTTCCCAATCCTCACAGCACATTCCCCAGACAGAGACGTCTGTTTTCCTTTTCTCTTCTCTCTCTTATCCTGTATGCACACTAAAGAAACCCAGGCCAGGCCAGTCGGTGATTATTGCCACAGTGCTTATACTTGTTAGTGTCTTGTTTTTAACCACTTTATTCTTAAGCCAGTTACCACATCATCCCTGCAAAGAATAAAGTGAACCATCTTGTGGAGACAGAGGCTCGGAGGAGAGAAGCATAAAAATGTCAAGAGTGGGGACCTGGGAACTCGGGGGTGGGGCTGCTTGTCATTTTCCTGGAGTTCCTCAAAGAGCTCTGAGCCCTGCAGCTTCAGAAAGAGGATGTGCTCCTCGGTGGGAACCCTGAAAGAATGAGGTACACCTCCCTTCACGGGGGACACACAGCCACAGTCTGAAAGACTAGCTTTCGCCAGACTCCATGCTACCTGTATCATCTTGCCGATCAGTCAGTCCCTCGAGATAGATGGTGTCAGCACCTCTTTAAAGGGTGGAAGCAGTATTATCCTTCCTGCTGCACTAGGAGAAGGTCCTTCTGAAGAACCTGGTCCTGATGGAATAAGAAGGCGGCAAGGTAAAGAGGGAGCCAGCTGCAGTCACATCCTGGGGCTAGCCACTGGGTTCTGTTTACTTGACAACTCCCTGTCTGAATATTTTAAGCCTCTCTGGGCAATTCCAGTGGAACCGCATGGATCCTAGGTAGAAAACATGTGGCACAGTCTACAAAGTCCTTCTCTGGGCATCCTTCACATACATAGCTTTGCAAGGCCAAGGAGAGCAGCTACTCAACTCTGACTACAGCTTTCTACACTCTATAGACACACATTCAATTTCCTCATAGGTCACTGCTTATGAGCACATAATTTCCCTTCTTAAGAAAAAGAAAATCTTATAAAACTGACTCAGTAGTTGCACATAGAAGCCGTTGCAGCTCACCAAATAGTGACTGTTTGCTTTTTTAATACATAAAGCTTTTGCAATGTATTTAGATAACAACTCTGTATAATCCGTTAAAAAAAGTATACACAATCTTTGCTCAAAAAGTTTATACTCCAGAGTGTATAAATGGAATGGGCATAAACGAAACCTTCGCTCCACAAATTGAGTAAAGCTCCTACACAGAACAAGCCAGGACTAGCACAATTCAGACTGGGAGAATCATCTCCGCTCGCCCTACAGGAATGTAATAAAATTTACAGTGCTTTTCTCCTATAAAGAGCTCCCCAATAACATTCTGCTCACATCCCCTAACGTGATAAAAGTGTGGTCATCTCTGTTTCCAGACTCAGGGACTTTTGTGCAAGGCCATGATCTGTGACAGAGAGCATAGAACTATGCCAAGAAAATGCAAGTCATCAGGATTGTTGTGCCCAAATGTTTTATCACAATCCTCGGCCATTAACACTGATAAAGATCCATGTGTCTAAACGGTCTTTGCCTTTGATTCCAGCTGTGCCCAGGTAGGACAAGACTGTGTACCATTGCTTTTCCAACCACAGTTTTACGTTCTCAGATGGGTAAGCGAGGATAGGTGAATCTGAAGGGCTGCTTAAGGAAATCCCAAGGGTGAAAGAGTTTAGAATGGCTCCACACCTCTCCTACTGGACAGAAGCATCTGTTTCCCCTCTGGCACGCGCCCCAGCCCCTCACTAAATCACCTTGCGAGGCGTGTGGTAACAACACGGAAGCAGTTTCCATAAATTCAAGTTTAAAGGGGATAGTACTCAATGTTAAAGAGTTCAATTAAATCACTCTTTACAAGGCATTTTTACAATTTCAAACCGTTCCCCAACTACAGCTGCATAGGAAATTAATTACTGCTTTAGTAGTTCATCGGTGACTCATGCAAAAAGAGATTCTTACTCCAAACAAGCACACCCTTTTGTTTGGAAACGTTAGAAAGGACGTGGAATTGCAGAGGAAAACACTCTTGCTAACTTTGCTGCTTGTCTCGTCCTCTCCTGGCAGAAGTTACAGTTCGGCTTCTATTGATGTCCACGGTGATTTGTCACACTGCCTGTGTGGCACTAGCTAAGGTACCTGAGGACAGGCTGAAAGTTCGAATCGGCCAGGGACAGTTGACTATTAATCCAGTAAAATAAGCTTTGATGTTTTGGGTTACATGGTATATAATATATTAATTCTATTAACGTGCAATAGAAGATAGAGTGTATTGATGCATTAAATGTTTATTAATATAATATAGCAATATGATATGATATATATTAATGCATATTAAACATATGTACATAATTAAGAAGACAAATAAACTGTTTTGTCTTCTATAATGTTTTTAATTGAAACATAATCATGCCACTTTCCCCGGCTCTTTTCTCTCTCCCACCTCTCCTAGCTACCCCCCCTTGAACGGCTTCCATACCCTCTCAAACTGATAGCTTCTTTTCCTTTGATTATTATTGTTACATATGTGCCTATGTGTCCACAAATATACATAATTTTCAAAAGTCTGAGAGGTAGCATGCTCACGGTACACAAGCACTACAAAAATTGCCTACATATATCCAGTTACACTTATTTCAAAAATAGATTGTTCCCTTTTGTTAAACAAAAGATTCACCTAAAAAATAATGTGAGTTTTATCAAAGACAATACGTTTATCAAGATGGCTCCAAGCAAACAAATGTTTCTTCTGCTCCCATATTTACATATGACAGATGCAAATTCTATATAAATCATGCAAATCGGTTTTTTATGTGACTTAAGTTTCCTCCCAAAGACACACACTTAATCTCCACCTGAATGTTGTAACACACTAAAATGCCAGTGTTTACAAAGCAAGTTTTGTGAGAAACATAATTGGTTGGGTAGATTCAAGTATAGCAATTTGGGATAATAAGTATATTAGAAATCAAAATATTTGAAGCCAGACCTGAGCCCAAAGGCAAATATTCTGTGGCCTCTGGACTACTAGAGAGAGTAAAGTAACACGTATGCACAGACATTTGTGTGACACTGGGGCATACACCAGTTAGAGACACATCAAAAGAAGGCGCAAAAAAGCAAAAGCCACTCATTGACGGAGAATTAAACCGTGTACAGTAGAGCTAGAGAACATCAGCTGGAGAGCATGAGCTGTTAGAAGACACAGAGCACAGGCCAGTGTCACAGCCACAAAACTGACACTCCAGGACCCCTGGCCACCATTCACTTCTGTATGGTTGTAAAGCAAACAAACCATGTCTCTGGTGTCAGAAATTAGAAGAGTAGTAACCTTCTGGAGAGGGAAGCAGTGAAGAAAGGGAGTCAAGGGAGCCCAGGAACCCCAGGCTTTTCCATTTCCTCATAGAGATAAAGTAAGACTACTGTCTAGATTCATTCTTTGAAAGTTGTTCTGGCCATACACTACACTTTACGTACTTTCTGAATGTAAGTTGCAATTCAATTAAAACAGATTAAAAATAACCTAAGAATTACACGTAGTTCAAGGTCTCTTTCACACCCTCTGCAGGGGAGCAGGGGCCTTGGTGTCCTTTGGAGACTATCAGTAATGATCACTCCCTACCAAGGAAGACTCCTCACTGTCTCAGACAGCTGTGGTGAGCAAAATTACATACTTTAGAAAAGAGGAGGTGGGGAGCTTGAGGCCTCTCTGAGCCAAATAAACCCCAAGATGTGTTCCTTCAGGTCTGCCATACCAGTCAATCAAACTGTTATTCCAGAGAGGCTGCCCATGGTTCTAGCCAGATAAACCACTTGCCAAAAACGTGAACCGCATCGCTGCCTGTAAGTGCTGGTTTGGATGGTGTGATGTGGCAGCGAACAGTTGCATTCTGCAGAGTCTGTGAGCATCCTCAAATGGGAGCGGGTGCTGCAAGAGCCGTTTCTCAGAGTTAAGAAAGGGAAACGTTCATTTGGCTGAGAGTTCCTCAAATGTAGCAAAGGCAACACAGCTCAGCATGATGTCCTTGGGACGTACAAAGTTCTGCCACTGTCACAGCTATTGCTGTGTTGGGCTTCAGGACCTCCCTGGGAAAAAAGACAGGGAAGCTCACAAGTGGGAAATCAGTGCTGAACTTGGGTGGAGCAAGAGGAGGCATGAACATTACCCCAACTCTGGCTCCCCTGTCCCTTATGTC